GCCAGGACAGCTTTCATCCCACATGTACTTTTCACAGGTTACACCAGAACGACAACAGGGCCAGACAAGCCTATGAGTTATATGTTGGTGACTAACAAAAACACTTAAGGTCTCCATTCACAGGTGACAGCAGCTCTATCAATGCCAGGGTGTTGATTCACTCCATCAATAAGGACCAGCAAATGTGCTGCTGTGATCTTAGGAAAAGATCTGCAATGATCAGCAAAATGGTTGGTGATTGTAACCTGCATTCAAGTTTCTCAACTTAAACTACACCAACCAGTTTCATCAACCCCACACTTCAAGAAAGTGAGGGATCAAGGGCGTGCTAGTAACGACCCTCCCTTTCCAACGAGGGAAAGCCCATTGCAAAGGCTCACAAAGAGTCACCCTGGTGAAGGTGGGACGTCCATGAGGCTAGTGAGAAGATCAACACACCGTAACGAAAATCAACTAATGGTTTAAGCTTAGCAGAAGTATCCATTTGTGTGATGGGTTTTGATGATTTCATTAGATTTACTCAACCTAGGGCTGAGTGTTGATATAGATTTCAAGATTTGAAATTTTCTGGTAAATGTAAATTGAATAGAGGAAAATTACTTAATGCTGTAGACTATAGGGACTCTTCTTAGATACATTTATGTAAAAGTAATAAAATATAGGGACTGTTTTAAGCACGCAGAATAACATAAGTGGACTTTGAAGGATTACGTAATTGTGGCATCCATAATTGTAATCGCGATTAGAAATTCGATTAATTGTGCAGCCCTAATGGGCACTATACCTCTGCAAAGCTTTGGGGCCAGCGTCCTCATAATTCAGATTGCTGAAAATGTCCTGGATTTAGGTCGCTCCTGGCATCCCCAGTACAAGAGTGCTCATTTGATTGGCTGGAACTTCTCGTGGGCAGGACGCTGTAGGGATTTTGCACGTTTGCATCGCTCTTGAAGTTAGACAACATTTTAATGCAAGTGGTAAAACACTTGTAGCATAACATACATCCCCTTTTTATGAAAAGAAAAAAAACTTATGACGCTTAAAAGGAGAATCAGCATAGTATGGCAATGATAATGTCTTTGCAGGTTAAACCGTAAACGTATAGGATTGTAGAGTAAATCTTTATTTAATTGTTTAAATCCTTGGGAAATATGACTTTTAAAGACTATCAATTATTGTTGTGATCTCAGCTCCTGGTTATCTCATGCACATACGTGCATTCAAAACGACTCTGCCTTATCTCTACTCACAGACTCTCCTCGTACGTAATCTCAAAATGAACTGCCTGTGTGTAAAAAAATAGAAAAATCCAGTCTCGTCAAATACAAAATTAAAAGGGTGTGGCCACTTTATCGATTCACCAGGCATGCAATATTTCAGAGCCAATAAATGAAATAAATGATTTATAAATCAATTCAAAATAATAATATAAAAAAATCTGAATAATCAAGAACTGTGCCCTCAGTTCCTCTTTTGGTCGTTTTTTTTTCTTCTTCTCCACAATATATGCCCTGTAACAAAACAAATGTACGTTTATTAATAATAATAATAATAATAATATATTGTGAAATAATAATATATTAAAAAGTAATAATAGTAGTAAAAAGTACAAATATACATAATATATAATAATAAAAATAATTATTATCATTTTTATTTAGTAATAATAATAATCATTATTATTATCATTATTATTTTTCTAACATTTATTGGCATAGATCAGCAGGTATAGGCTAGTACTAACGCAGTTCTGCAAGAATGAAAGGTGATGAACATCGTATGAAGAGTAAAACCAGCGCGTAGAGACGTGCATGAGCATAATGGACCGTTTGTATTACATACTAACAACTAAATTAAACTAAATTAGCACTTAAAATAAACTGTATTTGGCCGTTTATTTATTTATGTATTTGTTTTGTAATAAATTAATTAAAAGAGCATAAAATAATTTTGGGTGCAGGAAGCACACGAGCATAAAGGGTCATAGCTACTAAGATCTAAACTAACTAACGTACTAACTTAAAGGGTTAGTTCACCGCAAAATGAACATTCTGTCATTAATTACTCACCCTCATGTTGTTCCAAACCCGTAAGGCATTCGGTCAAACTGTCCATGTGACATCAGTGGCTCAACTTCAGTTTTGCGAAGCTACGAGAATACTTTTTGAGCGCAAAGAAAACAAAAATAACAATTTATTTAACAATTCTTCTCCCCCGAGTTACGTCTTCCGCTGATGTCACTGATGTCACATGGACAGTTTTACCGATGTCCTTACTACGTTTCTGGACTTGGGAACATTACAGTTGCGTTGCTGTCTATGCAGGGTCTGAGAGCTCTCACATTTCATCAAAAATATCTTAATTTGTGTTCCGAAGATGAACGAAAGTCTTACGGGATTGCAACGACATGAGGGTGAGTAATTAATCACAGAATTTTCATTTTTGGGTGAACTATCCCTTTAATGAATAAATTATTAGTGAAATCATGTTGTGTGGGGTTACTTGAACTGAAGATGCGGACTTGGATTGATTAGGATCTGTTTATGTCTTGTGACTCAAGTGTGCACGCATGTATCATCACGTTCTCCCTAAAACAAAAAAAATAAAAATGGGCATCACGTCAATTTTCAGTGTTAACTGGCAGGAGTTCAATCTGACACGCAATTAGGCTGTATCTTGGGTGTGCCCACTCAACTACAAGCGCTTAAAAAGAGGACCAACGTTTAGGTGGGTAAGTCATTTGACCCTAGCACGACTGCTCATTTCAGACATTGATTCAAAATGAGCCTCTCTGCTAATGACAAAGCAACTGTGAAGGCCCTCTGGGCTAAGATCTCCCCAAAGGCTGAGGATATCGGCAACGAGGCGTTGTCCAGGTAAGTCAAACCAGTTTTTTTTTTCTATAGAATGTCTAATGCATATTTTGCAGATCTAACGCTCTGAATAAATCGGCTTTTCACCACCATTTTGCAGAATGCTCTATGTCTACCCTCAGACCAAGACCTACTTCTCTCACTGGAGCGACCTGAGCCCCGGCTCTGCTCCTGTGAGGAAGCATGGAAGGAAGGTCGTCGCTGGAATCGGTTTGGCTGTTGAGAAAATCGATGACCTTTTCGCCGGCCTGCTCACTCTTAGCGAGCTGCATGCCTTTCAGCTGAGAGTTGATCCTGTTAACTTCAGGGTAAATATACTGCTGTGTGTCTGACGCTATTTATTAATAATTTAGCCATACTTTCATAGATCTCATTATGAATTTGTCTTTAAAATGGTGTCTATTAATCTTCATTTAACAGATCCTGTCCCACAACATTCTTGTGGTGTTGGCCATACTCTTCCCTGATGACTTCACACCTGAAGCCCACCTGGCCATGGACAAGTTCCTTGTAAGACTGGCCCTGGCTTTGTCTGACAAATATCGTTAACCAGTTTGATATGTGTTAAGCAGTTTGAATGTTGTTTTGTCGATTTGGTCAGCAACATGTCAATAAAAAAACAAGCAAACCTGGAGACAATTATCCTGTGCATTGTTTTTCCCTGACGCAGAGCAAAATCTAAATTAATTTGAAATACAAGCAAATCTAAAACACGAATCTATATAAATATGGGATCATATGAATTCCGTTAGAATTGTGAAACACTAAACTCACCAAACTTACAGCAGACAGGGCTGTGAATTAAAGTTAAGCCTGTTGCTTGTATAAACCATTCAATTGATCATTTTGGCACATCAGGATATGTTCAAGCTATCCATTCTGTTTCTTTAAGCTCATAAAAAATATTTGTGTACTTTTTTGTACAAAGTAGATGGGCAAGGTTTATTTAGAGACTACAAGTAGGATTTTGCAATTAGATTTAATATATAAAAATTACATACTTTTACTTTATAATATATATATTATTTATAATATATATTCAAATATATAATATATATATAAGATGCATAAAAGCATTAAAATATAGTCCGCAATTCGAAGAAAAAAAACCCATCATCTAGTATGAATGAGGTCTACTGCGTGAGATGCGCCAGAAGCTTTGACTCACATGAGTCTTGGATAGGGCATTTACGGTCATTCAAAGCTGATATCTTGATTGTCTCAAGAGAGAGAAAAAAAAACAACTCTTTATCAAGGAGCCGCATGCACAAACACCAGATGGGCAGACGGGCATTATAGGCTACAAACTATTTCACATATAGGGAGATACTAACAATATTTTGTCTCGAAAAATCACATAGAAATAGTGTAACATTTGACTGAAATAATTAAATATCCACTGAGCCCTTGTGACAACTTAATTTTATTTTAACTTTATTTTAAGAACCAATTCTCACTATTAACTAGCATACATATTACTAGCATATTGGCTGTTTATTACTACATACAAAACACATAACAATGCCTTATTCTTCATGACCATTTTAGACCGCTTAATCCTTCCCTATACCTAAACTTAACAATTACCTTACTAACTATTGATAAGCAGCAAATTAGGAGTTTACTGAGGCAAAAGTTGTAGTTAATAATGAGAATCTTAAAATAAAGTGTGACTATATTGCAGGGGTGCCCAGTCCTGTTCCTGGAGATCTACCTTCCTGCAAAGTTCAAACACAACTGAACCAACTCATTAAGATCTTCAGGAGCACTTGATACATACAACAAGTATGTTTGATCAGGACTGGAATTGAACTCTGCAGGTAGGTAGATCTCTGGGAATGGGATAGGGTGCCCCTGATATAGTGGACAGTGGACTTCATTTGTTTGGTGTCTGCCAAAAAATCTTGCATTTAGATATTTGTTGGATTTTGTTTACACTTTTTTCTTTGTTCTATAATGTAATACTGCACTACACTATACTATAAATTGCAATACTAACACAGAGATAATATAAGAATATGAAATAGAGTGAATTGTAGACTACAGCCTGAGACAAAACATGCTCTTTTATGTAAAACATTCTCAAAAGACAATTTACTGACATATACTGGAAAAAAAGATAAAGGGTTGGTAATTTTTTATAAAACTCAAATACACTAATTCACAGTTTTAAATGCAATATGTGCTGTAAGGTTAGACATGAAATATTCAGACTGTTTAAAAGTAAGGATGGCATCATGAATTGAGAGGTTTTGACACGCTGAGGTGCTCCAATATCATTTCAGTATAACTCGTATCTTCTCATCTCCAAGCAGAAGTCTGTTAAAATAATAAAGTAACAGTCTGCTGTAAAAATGATTTCTTAGACCTCAACAATGAATGGCAGATTTGATATCAAGGCAAACTGACCTCACAAGAGCAGCCGCCACCAGACCTCCCCCTATCGGACCGACCCAGTAAACCCAATGATAAGTCCAGTAGTTAGCCATCAATGCAGGTCCAAAAGCTCTTGCAGGATTCAAACAGGTGCCAGAAACGTCTCCTCTATTAAATAAAATAACATATTTCAGACAGACGAACATTTTAACAAAGCAGACATGTTACGTAAACATACGTAAAACTGAAGATGTAGGTTATTAAGATTTATTTTGCTCCAGACTCACCCTGCCAGAATATTGACGATAACAGTGCAGCCCACCATGAAGGGCACCAGGGGACTTTTGCTCTTTCCATTGACAGCTCCCAGCAGCACTACCATAGTTACTAGACACGTCATGGCCATTTCAGCAAACACAACTTTCCCCAGCTGCTCATCAGATTTAAGAATAGTAAAGGCCGCTCCGGTAGCATTCATGTAGTTCTCGCGTGATGTCATAACCTTCAAAATATATCTGTCTGTTGAGTAGTGTTTGGCGTTGTGGGAAGTAACAATGTTATATTCTGTATGTGTAATAAATGCATTCTTGTTCACACCTTTGACATTGCAGCTCCCAGCACACCTCCGATAAGCTGACTGATAAGGTAGGGAATAACCATCGTCAGCTGAATTCCACCACATAACCAGATAGCAATGGTGAATGGAGGGTTAAAATGTGATCCGCTGCAGAGAGAGAGAGAAAAAACATTCAGGTGAAACATAAACGGATGTTTATGAAACGGATGCAGAAAATCACTTTTGGCACTCAAAAACCAGTTAGCAAACCCAAAATTTGGTGTCCTGACAATTCTTGACAATCTTAGAATAGTTTTGAATACAATACGACTGAATATAAATGTACTGTAAAGCATCGGCTAAATAACAATCAAAGCGAAAACGTCTTTTGATTATTACACATTAAATAAATGTAATATACTGTATATAAATACAAAAATATTTGGTACATAAATAATTAAAACATTTTTAAAAAAGCTAAGCAATACATACAATATATATAAAAAAAAAAGAAAAAAAAAAAAGAAGAATTCTTACCTTATTTCTGCCATACATGCCACCAGCACAGCCACTGCCAATCCATGCACAAGCGCAGGCTGTAGTCGTCCTGCTGCCTCCACATTTTCAATGACAGACACGCAGCCGATAAAGACAAAAAATGTTGTGCCCACCAGCTCGGCAACACATGGCTGGATTATTCTCTCGTACTTGCCCAGAGGTTTGGGTTCGTTCTTCTTTAGCAAAGTTTTGTCAAGCTCTTCAAGTTCTAGCTTCTCTGCCTGCGCTGACATTGTGCACCATCAAGTGCATTGAGTAACTCTGTGACTGTGGCAGAGGGAAGCACTATGATAATAGAGCCAAACTAACTTGTTCCGCCATAAATCATTCTTTTATCCCTGAAAGGTCTGATATATTATCGTAGGATTATGTGAATGATGCAGCAACAAAATACAATCAAAAAAGTTTTAGGAGAAGATTTGGTAAGAACAGTAAGGTATCGAAGTATAATTACAGACATTTTCAGGTTGGAGTTAGATTAGAGCATAGTTATTCCCTTATCAGATGTAAGGTGCTTCACATTTGGACAGCATTGTTGCCATGATTATCTCTGTGTTATTGATTTGCTTGTCAAGTGTGTGATAACTGACTGACCTTGGGTGGAAATGTAATCAACTCACATGGCATTATAAAACAACATATTGACTCCAAGGTGAACTTTGAGCTGCAATGTGATATGTAAATATATGTTGATAGTGGTATTATAAATACTATTAAAATGCTCAGGGGGTCATAGATAAAAAAAAAAAAGAGTGGTGTGTGTGTGTATACACACATTATATATTATACATGGTGTACATGGTTATCTGTTGACATGCTTAAAAAATTTATTCAAACCAAAAAACAAATTATATTATCCTTCAAATAATGATATATTATTTAGGGGGTCTAGGAATGGATTTCTTAAAAAAAAATAAAAATTATATACAGTGGTGTGAAAAAGTGTTGGCCCCCTTCCTGATTTCTTATTTTTTTGCATGTTTGTCACAC